CTGTTCCCCTCTCCCAATTCCCCAATAAAATTAAAAAAAAAAAAGGATTGACATTAATCATCCTTAAAATATTAACAAAATTCATCAATGAATCTATCTGGTCATGGCCTTTTCTTTGTGGGGATATTTTTTTTTATTACTGATTTAATTTCCTTGTTATCAGTGTATTCAGAATTTCTATTTCTTCATGATTCCGTGTTGTATGTTTCTGGCAATTTATCTGTGTCTTCTAGGGTATCTGATTTCTAGGCCTATAACAGTTCATGGTAGTCTTTTGGGAACCTTTGTGTTTCTGTGCTATGAGCTCTAATTTCTCTTATTTTATTTCTGATTTAATTTATTTGAGTCTTCCCTCTATTCTGTTAGTCTAGCTAAAAGTTTGTCAATGTTATTTATATATTTTCAAAAAAACAGTTCTTAGTATTGTTCTTGTTTTTCTAGTTTATATTTATTTTTCTTCTGATCTTTGTTTTTTCCTTTGTTCTTTTTCGAGTTTCTCAAGGTGTAAAGTTAGGTTGTTTGAGATCTCTTTGTTTTCTTAACACTGGCATGTATAAGTAAACGTTCCTCTTAGAACTACTTTTCCACATTCCATATGTTTTGTTTCCATTTTTGTTTGTTTAAAAATACTTTTTTATTTTCCTTTGGATTCTTTCTTTGATTAATTGGTCAGTACTGTGTTGTTTAATGTCCACATGTTTGTGAATTTTTCATCTTTCTTCCTGTTACTGATTACTAGTTTTTCCATTGTGTTAGGAAAAGGTACTTGGTATGATATGTCTTCTGAAATTTGTTAAGCCTTGTTTGTTGTAACATAAGCTCTATCATAAAGATATTCTGTACATGCTTGAGAAGAATGTGTACTGTGCTGTAATAGGGTGGAGTGTTTATATATAATATGTTATATATATATATAATATATATACATATATATTACACACACACACACACACACACAAACACATAGCGGGTGCCAAAAAAATGTATACACATTTTAAGAAAGGAAAAAACTGTATTAAAATTGTGATACTCAATATATACTGATGAAGTTGTATATAACAAAAGATGAAGTC